TCCAAACTCCACTGATGCTGAGTTTGTCTCATCTATTCCAATGGGAGTTTGTCTCAGCCACCAGTGGTGTGCGGTTTGACATGCAGATAGTCAGCGCTCGAGATCAGGCACCACTGCTTTTATTTTTTGTCTTTGTGGTGCTAGCACCATGGGGCTCTGTTCTTTGATTGGTGTTCCTTAGTGATGCCATAATCCAAAGACTAAAAATAATTAATAATAATTTCCATTGACTAGATTGGGCTTTAGAACAGATTCCTAGTTACGGGAGGGGAAAACAGACTTGCAGGGCCACTAGGTAAGGTGGGGGGGTTTGCACTCTCAGAAGGGGTGGGTCCTCAGAAAGAAGGGGCAGGGCTAGGAGTAGTCAGCCCTCGGCACTGCCTGTGCCACACTGATCCCCCATCCCCCAAGCATGTGGTGCAGTGTGGCACTCCAGCAGCGATTGGAAGCTGCAGCCAGGAACCCAGGGCCTTTTTAAATCGCCAGGCCCTGGGCAGCTGCCTGCTTTGCCCCCCGTCAGCAGGTCTGTTCCTAGTAATAGTCTCTCGAGCTCTCAGCTGCCATAGGGCAGCACTTAAACAAATGCATATGGAACTGACCACTCAGAAGACGTACCCCAGAAATTCCGGAGACACAAACCTAGGCCAGGGTGGCTGTGACTGGAAGATGCTCTGACCTGGCGGCTGCTTAGCGACCTGTCTGAAATGGCTTGGCAAGTCTCCATCATCGGGTTCCTCGGGAGACAGGAAGCAGAATTGCCACTTCCTCTGGGGCTCATGGTGACAGAGTAGAGCAGAGCTATGAAGTGAAGGGGCCTTGAGTGCCCTCTGTCGCCTTAGGGGCACAGTCCCAGGGGAAGCTGGTTCTGCTGCAGCTGCTGAAGTTTTACATGCGTTGGAGACACATTTTCCAGAACTGATGCTGGCACCTTTCACCAGCAGCTCTTCGCTTTGTGGAAGAAGGGCCAAATTCAGCTCTGGGGTGGACAGATCAACTCCACTGACCTCCTCATCTGGCACCAGGCCCCGAGCCTCCCTGGCAATCCCGCAGAGCTAAGATAAACAGTGTCCTAGCTACACAATGCCATGTCCCACGCTGGCCCAAGCTGATTGCTGGCCCATAAAGTCATTAGACAAATGGACAGAGAGAGAAAGAGAAAAAATCTTCAGCCCCTATTGAGTATTATTATGCAGCAAGTTGCTATGTGTCAGCTTTTAAACCATTGGTGCACATCTCGTCTGAGACAACGCTGTTAGCCCAGTGATTTATCTCCTCTCTTTCTCTCCCTCCATGGTCATTAACTGAGAATTCATTGGAGTTGCTGCTGAATTCATTGAATGCGTGTGCATTTTGGCTCTCTGTGAATCCGCCCTGCAGATACGGTATGCTTTGGCAGACAGGACAGTCTAGGCTGTAGGATATTACGCCTGGCAGGGACACAAAACCCTACCAGTTCCTGGAATTTCGATTGTCTCGCAGAGTGCTGATTAAGCAGCACTTTCAATACACACCCAAAAACCCTGTAACTGTCTGTGTGCATTGGATTCTTTCACTGTTAGCTCCTCACTGTATGGCAGTGGGAAGCACCTCTGGGATACTCGGTCCCACTCATTCAACCTGTCAAATGCTAACCTGGGAGACACAGAACTATTTTCTCCAATGCAAAAGTCTACATTTCACAGCATTTCTCTTTAAAGAAAACAATAATAACCCTCCTCCTCCCCCCCCCCCCCCCCCAGCCAGCACCCCTGCCTCTATCGGATCAATATTTTCTCTTTAGCCTAAAGCTACTTAAAAGTACTAGGGTGTCTGCTTCTGCCAGTCTGCCCAGTCCATGTCACCAACTCACCCAATTCATGCCTTCAGTCTGTTCACTTCGTGCCTCATGGTAGCTCAGGGGTGGGCAAAATATGGCCCGGGAGTGGGAGCTGGCCTACCAAGCCTTTCAGCCCAGTCCATGCCTGCCCCATTGAACCCACAGGCAAGGGGGCAGCCCCAGAGCTCAGAGCAGCTGGTGGCTCCATCTTCCTCTTTGCGTCAGGGGGGCGGAGGGGGAAGCTTTGTGTGCTGTCCCCACCCCCAGCACAATCTTTCAGCTCCCATTGGCTGGTTCTCATTGGCTGCCCCTTCCCCCAGAACAATCTCTCAGTCCCCATTGACTGGTTCCAGTCAGTGGGAGCTTAGAGATTGTGCTGGGGGCGGGGGCAGTGCATGAAGCCTCACCCTTGCCTAGGTAAGTGCCTCCCAGCCAGAGCCTACGTCCCACCCACCCCCTTCTGCACCCCAGCTCCCTGCCCCAAGTCACCATCCAAATCCTGGTGCACACTCTTCCCCCAGGTCACAACTCCCTCCCAGATCCTGCACCTCCGCCGACACCCCCTCCCCCACACCAGAATCCTCTCCTGCACACAAACACCCTCCCAGACCCTGCACCCCAGTCTCCTGCCCAAAATCACAACTACCTTCTTCACCCCAACTCCCTCTCAGATCCCACACCCTCTCCTGCATCCCAGGACCCTGCCCTGCGCTCCCTTCTGCACCCAACCTCCGTCCTAGACTCCACAGCCTTTCCATAGAAATGTGCAGCCCTTGACCACTTACACAAATTTTGGAGTGGCCCTCCCCCACCAAATATTATTGCCTGCCCCTGCTATAGCGCATGAAATTAATAGGCAGCAGGTTTAAAGCAAATAAACAGATGTATTTCTTCACACAATGCACAGTCAACCTGTGGGACTCCTTGCCAAGACTATAACGTGGCTCAAAAAAGAGCTAGATAAGTTCATGGAGGATCAGTTCCCAGGCAGGGATGTCATCGCTGATTCTGGGAGGGCTCAGATCACTGTATTTTGCAGGGGTGCTTTGACTTTGTCTAGCGTCTGGTTGCATCAGTGACATCTGACCCAAAACCCAACATGTGCAGAATGAAACTGCCCTCGTCTTTCCTTCTGAGATGCAGCCCATCCAAGACAACAGGTCCCAGCATCGACTGGGACAATGTGGGTGGGATCAAGATGGAGTAGTGCATGCTGGGAAATGTGGGCTACATGGGCCACATCTTTCATGGAGAAGTCTAGGATGGTTGTGAGGTGCATTTTAAAGCTCTGTGGGTCACAAGCTGCACGTCGGCTACCCCTGCCTTATTAAAAAGCCTGCATTATCACCCATTACTTGGAGGCATATGATATTGCACAGCCTTCGGGATCAACTGGCAGGGGCTGGAGACAGTCCCCTTAGATGGCCCGCTACAGCAGGATTCACTTCTGCTGGCTCTATGGCATCATTGGAAGGGCACCAGCCAGCTTTTTGTGTGTGCCTTTGCCTAAGTGGGTTCCTGGAGCCTCTGCCCCAGTATGTGCCTGCAACAGTTCTCTTTTCAAGTGATTGTGACTCTGGTTGGAGAAAGGAGAGGACATGGCTCCTCCAATGAGATTTTGAGGATTGCTAATTTATGTAATGCACCTGCAGTATCAGTGTTCCCTCAAATTTTTTCCATCCATGCGTGGAATAAATTTTGTTATGTGCACCCCCAGTAGAAACACATACTGCCAGCTGTAGCCAGATGTGGGCACTCTGCTAATCAGCTGGTTGGCATTTGAATCACGCCTGGGTGCTGCCCAAGTGCACAGCTTACAGGGAACATGCCCAGGTATTTAGGATGATTGGGCACCTAAGAAATGCTTGGTGGTGTCATGGAATCACTGAAGTTAGGGCTGAAGAAGCATTTTTCTTAGTGTATGTGCAATGTGGCAGCTGGCCAGGATTCATCACCCAATTTGGTCTTCTGGGTACTGACCGGGATTGGGAGTTGAATGCTGATCCATGCCCCCCATCCTCCCGCCCGGAAGCACTCTTGGGACCCTGTCCTAGGACACAGTATGTTCTGACTTGCATGCCTGAGTCCAGTCTTCAGTTTCTCAAGCAACAGAGCTTCTATGGATCCCACAGTGAAGCCATTTCCCCCTGCACGGAATAGGTCAAATTTTCAATCCCAACTTCTGTTTTGCATCTCCAGGTGCCGCTGCAAATCTGGGCACTCTCGCCTGTCCTGTTGTGTGCACAGATCTATAAGTGTGCACCTGTCACAGCTGTACAAATGCCACGGTTATGCAATAAAATAGGTGGCATAGGGCCCATTCAACTCTGTGAGCAGAGCTGCTTGAACATGTAGTCCCCCTACCTGCAGTGTGTTCTGCACTATCAGAACTGTTACTGTTCGCTCTGCTATGGGAAAGCACATGTGATGCTCTGATTTATACTGTGGCCTCATCTAACTGAGATGAATGGAGGGAGATCTAACCCTTTGCTAAGCTGCTCTGGATGAGCATCATGGTTCTGCAGAAAAAGCTCCTTTCTCTTCCACTTGGACACCAGGCTTGGGCTATTGTCACTGGCATGGATTAGATTCCACCCTACTTCCAATGTATAATATACCCTGATTAGAATAGAAGGGGTGGTTGCTCTGAACACAAGTGTGGCCAGAGAACAGCCCTGGAAAGTTGCTCTCTAGCATGGCCATGTCTCTTCTAAGGAGGGGGATTTGTCAAGGTGGCAGATCGGGAGGCCCATTTGCTCAATTCAAGACAGAGGCTGGAACTCATGGTCTCTTCTGGGCACCCTTCCACAGGCATGGAGACAGCAGGCTGCGTTCTGCTCTATTTCACACTAGTTAGGGGGAGCCCTCTGATTCCCAGAGAGCTGTCAACAGGGCCAAGTCTCCAGGGCAAAATATGTGTCTGCCTCACTCCTTTCAAAATTAAAGCAAATTTACTATCAAGGTCCTTTGAAGGGAGAAAAAGTTTCTGGAAATGTCTATTATAGGATGTCTCATAAGCACAATGCAGGGGTCCCAGAGGCATATTGCAGCTAAGGAGAAGCTGTGTTTGACTCTGATAAAACAGGCTCCGGTATACTAATTTTATACTGTTTTCAGCCTTACAGAGTTCATAACACTCACAACAAGCAGAGAACTCGGCAGAGCTGGGCAGTGTGTACACAGGGAAAAGGCCATAAATTGCCTCGCAGAGCGCTTTTCTTGCTGTAGGACATTCCCTGGAGGAAGAGTTAAGATGCAGATTTTGCGTCAGATGCTATCAAAGGCTCCGAGGACTTGGCTAGGTTAAATCTCTCTGCCACATGTGCCTGAGCAGGTTGTTTGCAAAGGTCAATCTCCCAGTCTCTTGCAGCAGCAGCTAACATTTCTCAGCTGCTCTTGGCTCAGTCCTCAAGGTATGTTGTCTGGGAAATGTCCTCTCAGCTTCTTTGGGAAATGTCTTTCGCTGATGTTAGAAGGTGCATCTACTAGAGAGAGGGGCTTTTGTTTTGTTTTTTAAATCTTGGTTGGAAGTGGTTGATTTTGCTTCCCCCAAGAAAAAGGTTATTTGAGATTTCTTACTGATCATTTTAGAACTTGCTGTTTGTTTCTTTATTGGAGTAAGATTTCAGGTTTTGGGGGGATTTGCTAAACATACTGAAAGCCTGTGAAATCAGAGAGGCTGTAACCTTAAGCTAAGTCACATCATGTTATTAATTACCCTGGGTTGTGAAAAGTGAAAAAATGTGAGCAAGTTCTTGCACTCAGATTAAAAACGAACCACCAAAAGATTTCACAGCTGGTGCCAGGGAGTGGGAGTTTGCTCTTATGTATCAGCAAGAATTCCAGCTTATGAAAGATACCTTCTTTTTTTAAAACTTATTTTGCTTGTGGAAAAGCATCCGTCAGTGTTTTGTTTTGTTTTTTTAGTCTGGAAAGAATTATTTCCATGATTTTCGTGTGAAATAAAAAAATAAACGGTGCCTCTATTGTTTCCTTTTACAGATACACCATTCGAAGGAAGATTTGCATTATTTAGATTTGCATTATTTTTTTTTCATTTCTTTTTGTTTTGTTTTATTTGAAAGTAGGCACATTGCAAAACAATAAAAAAAACAACAACAGCAACTTACAATGACCCTATTGCACATGCACCTGTATTTCATCAGCTTGGTCTTCTGGATTATACCGAAATCAAGCTCTTTTATACTGTCCAATGCCACTGAGCTATTGTATCCCTCCAGCAGCCCTCAGGCTGGTTTAGTGTCTGCCCTCGGGGTGCCGAGGAGTCGCCGAAAGCGATACATCTCTCCGTGGGACATGAGTGCTCTTTTGGACTACCACAACCAAGTACGGGCACAGGTCTCTCCGCCAGCTGCCAACATGGAGTACATGGTAAGTTTTTGCCATTCTTGCTGCAGGGAGAAGGAATGATGGTGGGGCTTAGGGCAAGGGCATCCTCTGAGTTGAAGTGGGTGGAAAGGAAGAACTGCCTTGCTGCAGAATAGAGCCCTGTTGGACGGGCAGTGCCCAATACATCAGATGCCAGGCTCAGGAACTGGCAATGTTATTAGTGTGAACTGTTGATTCTTGGCAACAAGCTATGTGCTAGTGTAACCGCCACCATGGTGATTTGAACCTGGGACTTCTGAAGCTGAGTATAGGAGCCTCTACCCTCTGAGCTAAAAGTCAGCTGGCTCCCAGCCTGTGCTGTAGAGGTCTCTTGGGCTTAGCTGTTGCTATGGTCTAGGTGCCACTGCATTGGTCAGTGAACCACATTTGGTGTATGGGTTACACTAGCCCAGTACCATGCAGCATCACAGCCTTAGTCCCAGGGCGCTACCTGACCAAAGTCAAACACGGCACAGTCAAGGGGCGTAACCCCCCAACCAGATGCAGGGAGTGGAGAGGGCATACGGAAGTTAACAATAAGCCCACACGGTTACTCAGCAATGCTCAGTGCTAGTTAGACTTGCTCGGTTTTCTATGATTATTCCTTGTGATCAGCACGGTTTCTGGGAGGGACCTGGATGAGGAAAGGAAAGGGGAAATCTAAAGCTTGCCTGCCATATGTTACGCCTCGCCCAGGCAGTGCCCATCAGTTCTGTACAGTGTGTGCCAGCATTTTACCCCAGCACCTCTGCTTCCATTTGTTAATAGAAGTTCCAGCTCTTGGTATATTTCACCTTCCCGTCGACAGGCAATTTTTTCACACATTTACCATTTAACTCACTGATGCTGATCTGAGGCAGCTGTGTGTGTGAGCACTCTGACTTGGCTTAAAGCTGATTTATATCAGTTCAGGCTGCAAGGGACAAATCACACCAACCCAAGCCAGGTTCATGCAGAGTCATGCCAGGTTCACATCCTCCTTTTAGTTAAACCAGGGCAACCTCTGGGTTTAGACAAACCCTGATGAGGCAGCTCTTGCTACCCTGCTGCAGACTCTGGGCGGAGGGAAAGGGGGGTTTAGATCTGCAGACAGGGAGGGACGCACTGCATATAGAGCCTATTTCACAAAGGAAAAAGTGAGGAGCTAAGGGCAGGGGGAACTCTAGGTGCATGGCTGAGCTCTGCATCAACTGGCATCATGCAGCTCGCAGGCAACCTTTCTGAGCTCTTTGTTCATGATAATTGTAGCAGTTGCTTTTTGCTGTCAGCAGAGAAGAGGTGAGAAGAGGAAAAGCTGCCACCTTATATTGCCTTTCCCAGCTAGCAGCTCTGAGAGCAGCAGTTGGGGAGGGGAGATGGTGAGTGCAAAGAAGGTAACTGATATTTCACAGCATCTTCCAGGAAGCCCGGGCTTGCTTTCCTTGGGCAATTCTTGGCTCCCTGTTGGCTCACTCGGTTGCCAGTGCTAACCACCGAGTGTTGGTTTTGTGTCTTACACGTGTCCTGTAGGAACTATACAACCGGGATAAAAACCAGCCCAAGTCCTGATCCAACACCCACGGGAGTCTGTCCAGTGGGAATTTGCCCAGTGACTGCAGCAGGCTTTGGAACAGGCCCTTGGCGTTCCACCTCGCTCTGC